CACCCTGATCCTGTAATTCCTCTATGCTGGTCCTGGCTTAGCTCAGGGTTTGTTGAGAGAGGTCTCCAGCTCATCACTGGCTCCATGCATGGCGATTCTGTTGGATTCTAACTGTTGTTAGAACTATGAATCACCTAAATGTGGCTGGGGATAAATTACAGGACAATGTTTATTATAATTTAGTGTCAATAAAGGTTTATTTAATTAATTGAAAACCAGAGCTACGGATAGACAGGGATCTTCCATCTGCTGGTTCACTCCCCAAATGGCCTCCATGGCCAAGGCTGGGCTGGGCCAAAGCCAGGAGCCAGGAGCTTCTTCCCCGTCTCTCGCATGAGTGCAGGGATCCAAGTACCCAAGCCATCCTCTGCTTCTTTCCCAAGTGCATTAGTTGGATCAGAAGTGGAACAGCTGGTGCTCGCGCCGGTGCCCATATGGGATGCCAGCATTGCAGGCAGCAGCTTAACCCACTGCGCCACGGCACCGACCCCAAAGATGTTTTATTAAAGGGTAGCAGAAGCGTTCTTGTAATCGCTCGCGCGTGAGCAGACTCTCATATTGCCCAGTTTTCGAGATGCACTGGTTGGCTAAATGACTGAACACTGTAATGTCATCTTGGTCTATTTTAACATGAAGGAAACTTTCAAACACACAAAAAGTGCTATCTGACAAAATAAGTGAAAAAGGTTTTATTTCTCCGAGGAAATGGGGGGAACTGGGCAGCAGATACATCAGGTCTTTGTCTCAGACGCAGCAGGGTCCTGCAGAAAACTTTCAGTGCTGCTCATACAAACTTGCTTTCCTCGTGCAAGGAGCCCGGGCGGGGGCATCACAATGGTGGCTGCGGTGCCCTGGTTACCGTGTCAACATTCCGGTGACCTCACACACCCACGGTGCACTGGGGCTCAGCCTGGGCAGGGCGTGCGAGCCCAGCTCATTCCGAGAGCAGTTACACTTGGAAGCTGCTGTTTTTCTTTCGTTGGGCCAAGTCCATCCTTGTCAGAGACCTCAGAGACGGAGTGAAGTGGGTTTCCCACACCTGGGACCGTGAGCAAACTGGGGAAGGTACGTGAGGCTATTACCCTGAGCGAGACGTGGGATCCCAGCAGCACTCGGGTCCATGTGCTGGGTGCAGGGGACAAGGGGGCAGTCAGACCACTCGCTCCGAAGGCCCAGGGGACAGATGGTTCCGGAACAGCATCAGGACCCTGCTGTGGGTTGGACTGTGCTCCCCAGCGAGATGTGTTCAAGGTCTAACCCCTCCCTGTGCATGAGGCCTGTTTGGAAACAGGGCCTTGGCAGAGGTCATCATGCTGAGCTGGACTCGTGCTGGAGCGGGCTGGACCTGACCTCCAGTGACTGGTCGCCTCACAAGGAGAATTTTGGAGGGAGGGGAGCAACACACAGCAAGGGTAGATGTAGAGGTCAGAGCAAGACTACTCCAAGCCTGGGAGGGGGCCTGCTGGCACCCGCTGGCAGCTGGATGGGTGGGGAAGGGCCGTGGCCCTGCTGACCCCTTGGTGTCTGCCCTCTCGGCTCCAGAACTGTGAGGGAATAAACCCCCTCTGCTTGTGGCCATTAGTTCTGGGATCAACACGTCTTGGAGGGCTTCTAAGAGGAGGTGATCCAAGCTCTACCAGGGGTGAGGAGTGGGGAGTTAGCCCAATGGGACGGTCAGGAAGGCAGCACCCAAGACCAAAGCCACAGCAAGCCCCAAGCCGTCCGCATCTGGAAGTGGACAGATTCCTGTCCTGGGCTCCCTGAATCCCCAAGGCCTGCAACGTGTGGCCGGGACGTGAGGCCCTGGCCAGGGGATCGGGCAGAACCTGCCAGGAGACAAGCCCGGTGGGGTCACCAGCTTGATCATGACCTTGCCGAGACCGGCAGCAGAGGGGACCTCAAACACGTGTGATGGGCACAGCCTGTGTCGCAAGATGAAGCCAGCCTGGGCTTTGAGCTGGCCAGTGGAGGTGAGGTGTGGAGGGGGCCTCGTGCCTTTCTATTGCGAGTGACAGGAGGTAATGATGCTCGCCGAGGTGATGGGCGCGGGAGGAGGATGAAGAGGCGGGGTTAAAGGAAGTTGGTTGGTTCCCTTTGGGAAAAATTGAGCTCGAGGTGACTCGGAGGCAGCTGGCTCGAGGGCCGGGGCTCGCGGGCACCTGGGCCCTTCCTTGGCCAGGTTGGTCCTGAGGATTTGGTAAAAAGGCAGACAGAACACAGGGGCCAGGGAGACAGAAGTATGGGGCTCGAGAGGTGGAGAGGGAGGCCGTGTGGTCCCTGGAGTCATGGAGGGGAGCCTGCAGAGCCTGGGGGACCCTCTGTCCCGTCTTGGGGGACCATCAATTCCGTCTGAATCTGAGAGCCGTCTGTGCAAAGCGTCGGAAATGCGCATTGTTGAAGGCACAGGGAAGCAGCGTGAGTGTTGAGTCCTCTCCCACGAGAACGGGGCAGGCGTTGGCATCGGTCCAGCGGGGATCCGGGAGCGGCCCCTCTGCCTTCTACACATGATGCAGACGTGGAACACGCGTGCGGTCACGTGGCTCAGAGGCTTCCGATATCTCCGATGATAAGCGTGCACTGTCAGTGCCTTCCTGTGTCTCCATGTGGATGTCACATTGGATTTTTCGGACCTTCCGCTCTTCCAGTCCTCTGACCTGTGCTGGGGGGGGTGTTAAGGGTGCACTCGAGATGTCCGTGTTCTCCCTGGGACCGGGGGCCATGTTGTCTTCCACAGCAAAAGGCGCTTTGCAGGTGTGCCTCTGTCAACCTCGAAACGTGATTAAGAGCGTCACCAGGAGACGGGGGTCCTGGGTTAGCGAGCCCAGTCCAATCCCGGGGTCCCTATCAGAGGGAAGCAGAAGGGAGGTGACTGTGGGATCAGAGGTTGGGACGATGCTGGGCCACGGGCTGACGAGGGTGCTGGCCTCTCAGATCTGGAAAAGACAGGGAGTAATCCCCCCAGCCCTTCAGCAAGGAGTGCAGCCCTGCTGGCCCTGTGGGACCCGGGTTGGACTTCGGGCAAGCAGAGCTGCACCATGGTAGCGCGTGGTCATTGTTAGAGCAACCACGGCCGCTCTCCCGTGGCTCCTCCGCCCCGGGTCAGTTCCCCTTCCTTGCTGCAGGGGGCACGTGCCTCCCGGTGGCCGCTGGTTGCTGCGTGTCGATGCGTTCTAGGCAACAGGGCTGTGACTCACACCCCTGCATCCGTTCCAGTAATCCTGTGAGGCAGGCACCCTGCTGTCTCCGTTGCACAGGGAGGAACCCAGGGGTGCTCAGAACTTGCCCAAGCACATGTGTGTGGAGAGCTGGGATTACCCCCTAGGACTCTGGTTGCGTTGCGATGCCTTTGTCACCACTGAAGCTGCAGCTTTAATGGCCGCCTGGAGCCTGGCTCCTGCTCATTAACCAGGTAACGGGGCCATTTCTTAAACGTTGGCTCTGCATCCCGTCCCTCGGGCCTGACGCCTTCCGAGCTGCGTGCGTGCAGGAGGCCCTGCTGCCTGTGTTTTCTGGGTGCACAAACTCAGAGGCTGAGCTGGGTGCAGACTCCGATCTGTCTGGCCGCAGTTATTCACCCATTCATGATGTCACACAGCCGGAGCCACGTGGTTTCCGTCTTTGTCCATTTTACTGTCAGTTCTTCATGATGCATCAGGAATCTACTAGAATCCACTAGAGCTTTCAGCTGTTACAGTTGCAGGTCACACAAAGTAACCTGTGCCCATTGTCTGATGACCCGGCGCCACTCAGTGACGGTCATGGGTGGGCTCATGGTCATCTAAGGACGATACATCTGGCCAGCCCTTGGTCAGGTCAGTGGTGACTTGGAATTCTCTCGAGCCGTGTCCTGACCCCTTGGAAAAATCTGCCAAACTTGAAAATGTTGCCCAGTGAAATTCTGTAAATTCTATCTAAAATTTTAAGCGAACTCTTCTGATGAGTTGATAACGACAGGACTCTGATGTAGAGCGCGATTTTCTTAACATTCTTCTTTCTCATCACCGGCTCCGACAGGTGGGGGGGACCAGTCGTCAGAGCCATTTGAAAAACCTCCTCCCCAAGAGCATCTCCTCTGGGGAGGCACCGTTGCCCCCCTGGGCTGGGGGCCGGGGCCTCCGGCTGGGCTTGTTCACCGCCTGCCTCCTGCCCAGTCCTGCTGCACCCAGGACGCAGGTTGCTGTGGGGACCTTGGGGGTTGCTGGGCTCAGGCCCCGCCTCTTACGTCTCCTGTAGAAAGCCCCGCGCTGGGAGCTTGCGTCTAAGGGCGCCTTTTCCTCACCAGGGCTCAGGGCTCCAGGAGGCAGGCAGGGCAGGTCGTGGAGGAGGACGCCGGGGCTCAGTGCGGTCTGTCGGTGTGTCCATCATTGCCAAGTTAGTGACCAGGCGGCCAGGCGAGAAGCCTGGGCCTCTGTTTTGGTCCACTGCTCGCACCCTGGGCCCCGACGATAGGTTTGGCTGTACTGGGATAAGCACTCGCGTAGACACGCACGTGGGGGATTTTACTCAGTGTCTCACAATATGGTCACGAAATGATCTCAAATGTCCCCAGACAGTCCCAAAATCAGTGTGTGGGTTCCCTGTCGCTCCTCCAGAGAGGGTCGTGTTAAGAGGTGGGACACGAGCAGGTCCTGTATTTCTGCCGTTCTAAACCTTCGTGGTGTTGGGGAACCTGTGACTGGTTTTCTCTTGTTCTGGTATGAACTGTTTAATTGTGACTGAATCCGTGGGACACCATCCGTGGGACACCAACAGCCGTTAAGAGGAAGGAAACTGGCATTCGGAAAAACTGAGCGATTAGGGCCTCCAGGAGCACGCGTGGAAGGCAGGACGTGCGGGGTGATGGAAGGGTGTGCACGGTTTATCAGACCGGCGGCTGCTGCATTCACCATGGCCTAGTGCAGTAGGCAGTAGGTGACGTGCAACTTCATGCTGAAGTTAAATATTCCATTTTATCTTTTCATGTACTAAAAAGCAGCAATATATTATCTCCTTTCACCTAGGATTACGGGGCCAGCCGTGCAGTACACACGACCCAATTGCCTTTAGAAACCTCCAGTCTGATGGTGCAGAGGGGAAAGCCGGCGTCACCGAGGTAACACGCGTTTGTAACTTGTGCTCAGCAAAGCACACCCTGCCGGGAAGCCTGGTCCCCAGGCTGCTTACGATGTGACAGTGCTGTGTTTTGTTCAGTCAACAATTGAGTTAGGTTAACAGAAAATCCAGCCACCAATGCCTAGGCCTTGTTATATAAAAGTGCACACTGAGTACTTGGTTCTTGCTTTATGCCCTTCACCAACAGCTTGTAAGTCTGCAGTACCACCGGCCAGTACAGGGATTGGCCCAACTCTAAATCAAAATTGATCTTCTGGGGAGAGAGGCCATGTAGAATTTTGAAGGTGAGAGGAGGTGTTTGAAATCTCACAAGCTGGTGTGGGTTCCTGTAGCTGCACAAAGTATCAGGGACTGGAAATAGAACGTTAGGGGTCGTGTTTATAAAATGAAATAGATATTTTTAAGTTATTTCTTGATTTGAAAGAAAACTCTCAACCCCCTGGTTCACTCCCCAAATGCCCACAACAGTCAGGACTGGGCCAGGCCAAAGCCAGGAGGCAGGAAGGCCATGTGGGTCTCCCACCCAGGATGAAGGCCGTGTGTGTCTCCCACCCAGGAGGAGGAAGGCCGTGTGGGTCTCCCACCCAGGAGGAAGCAGCACTGAGCCATTGCCGCCGCCTCCTGGTGAGCGTTAGCAGGAAACTGGGACAGGAGCAGGGCTGGTGCCCACACCCAGGGACTCTGGTCTGGGACACAGACATCTCCAGTGAGGGCTTGATTGCTACGCCAATCACCCATCCTCCCTTTTTAAAAATGTATTTTATTTACTTAAGAGGTAGAGAATGAGAGAGAGAGAGAGAGAGAGAACAGAGAAAATGCAATGTTTAGATTCTGCGGAATCAAGCACTCTGCACACAATGGTTAATATTGCCAACTTGTCACATGACAGGCTCTATCTAATTGACTAATTCATTTCATCTTCCCTTGGTCTCAGGAGGGAAGTACTTTAAAAAAGAGAGAGAGAGAGATTATTGGGGCCAGCCCTGTGGCACAGCAGGTTAAAGCCCTGGCCTGAAGCACTAGCATCCCATATGAGCTTGAGTTCTAGTCCCAGCTGCTCCTCTTCTGATCCAGCTCTCTGCTGTGGCCTGGGAAAGCAGTAGAAGATGGCCCATGTGCTTGGGCCCCTGTAGCTACGTGAGAAACCTGGAAGAAGCTCCTGATTCCTGACTTTGGATTGACTCAGCTCCAGCTATTGCAGCCATTTGGGGAGTGAACCAGCGGATGGAAGACCTCTCTCTCTGTCTCTACCTATATCTGTATTTTTTCAAATAAATAAAGACAAATCTTTCAAAAACTATTATTTATTTGAAAGGCAGAGTGAGAGATATCTTCCATCCGCTGGTTCATTCCTCAAATGCTCACAACAGTCAGGTCTGGGCCAGACAAAAGCCAGGAGCCACAAGTTTCATCTGGGCCTACCACCTGGATGAGAGGGGCCTGAGCACTTGGGCCGTCTTCCACTCTCTTCCCAGGCACATTAGTAGGAAGCTGGGCCAGAGCAGAGGCGCTGGGACTCAAACCATCACTCCAACGTGGGGTGCAGGGCCACAAGCAGCCGCTTAACCCGCTGTACCACACACCAGCCCCAGGAGGCGCTGGTCAGTACTCATTCTGCAGATGAGAAAACTAAGTCTCCTAATTTAAGCTGCTCGGACCCCAAGCCCCCATTCTTATGCTCTCCCAGGCTCTTCCCAGTCGGCAGAACTTGAAACACGAACTTGCTCACCTTAAAGAGCTGTCCAAGATGTTACAGCTTACAAGGCACCTGCTGGCTGCCACAATGGGATGTTCTGCCGCCATCTTTTGTAATTCTAAGAGAGAGGACTTGCAGGAATCTCTCTCCTAGCGAAAGCCTCAGTTAGGAACATATTTTTCCCCAAGTGCTTGTCCGAGGCATGATTTTGATTTCATAAAGCTGACGTTCCCCTCAAAGACGCGAGGCTGGAAGTCCCGCAGGACAGAGGGAGATGCTGTCTTAGGCCCTGAGATTTAGCCGTCAATGTTTAAAGGCTTTTCTATGTGAAGCCCCAAGGTCAGTGTCTCGAGATAGAAACATACACGGCTGTGATTAATCTGTTCCCTTGGGAGCAGCATCAGGAAACCCAGGTAACGGGAGGAAAATGAGTAGGAGGAGCCTGGATCCTTGACAGCTGCCCCAGAAGGAGATGCCGGGGTCAGGGGGTGTCCGGGTGGATGTGGGGGTGCTGCAGGATGGTCCCGCCCTTTAAGAGGGGACAGGCTCTCGTCTCGTCTGCTGCTCCATACGTGGACTTGGCCAGTTGTAACATTTTCCTTCGATGTCAAACAAACAAGAACTTGGTCATTGATGATGATACGGATCTCAGGGGCTGTGTGGCTGGATCCCTACAGGGGTGCTTCCCAAAGCTGTCGAAAATGGAATTACAAGTTTATTTTGGTATAAAAATTGTTTGTTGAGATTCATGTATAGTTTTTAATCATAACATGCATTTTCATGAACTTGTTGGAGACCTCTTGTGTAACACACACACACACACACACACACACGAACACGTACACTCTCTCACACACACGTACACTCTCACACACTCACACACGTACACTCTCACATACACACACATACATTCACACACACACGTACACTCTTTCACACACATGCACACTCACACACATGTACACTCTCACACACACGTACACTCACACACATGTACACGCACACACGTACACTCTCACACACGTACACTCTCACACTCACACACATATACTCACACACACGCACACTCACACACATGTACATGCACACACGTACACTCTCACATACACACACACACTCACACGTACACTCTCTCAACACTCACACACATACACTCTCACACACACATGTACACTCTCACACACACGTACACTCACACACATGTACATGCACACACGTACACTCTCACATACACACACGCACTCATGTACATGTACACTCACACACTCACATGTACACTCTCTCACACTCACACACATACACTCTCACATACACATACACTCACACACGTACACTCTCTCACACACATGCACACTCACACACACATGTACACTCTCACACACGTACACTCTCACACACTCACATTAGGTTACTTTCTGTGACTCAGTTAAATAACTCTCAGAAATCACATCTTCTCAATATCTGCTCTGAAATTCCTGGATCAGTCACGTGAGTTTCCAATTTCCCTTCACACTTGGAGCCTTTTAAGCTTGTCCTGGGGTGTGTGTGTGTGTGTGTGTGTGCATATGTATGTGTGTGTATCTGTGTGTATATGTATTTATGTATGTGTAGGCATGTGTGTACGTAGCTCTGTGTATGTGTGTGTATGTATGTGTAAGTATGTGTGTATTATGTGTGTGTGTATGCGTGTGCGTGTGTGTGTTATGAAGCTGCTGTCAGATGATGAAACATAACACCAGACCTCCTACTTTAGTGGCTGCCATGAACCCCCACCTCTCTTCGAGAGCCGGGCCAAGGCTGGCCGCTTCTTCACAGATTCCTCCGAGCTGAAGCAGGGGTGCCGGCACCCCCTGTGAGCCATCATTCGAAGGGACTGAAATAAGGGGCAGAGTTCTCAGCTTGAAGGAAAAGGTTGACGTTTTCTGATGCTCAAAGTAATAGACTGATAATAAAAGTAATGACAACCGCATGTAGAAACTTGGAATACAGAAATGCATCAATAAGGACGTCTTCCCGCCCTTTTTCCCATGCATTTGACAAAAGCACGAGACTCTCTCGCATATCAACTTTTATTGCCCTCTTTTATTATATACTGTTCCATCACAAACAATTTCCCACTTAATTTGTCATTTTTATTTTTAATTTCTTGGGGAAAAATATGTTCCTAACCGATGCTTTTGCTATGAGAGATTCCTGCAAGTCCCCTCTCTTAGAATATAAGATCCAGTTGTGCTTGCCATGGTTTCCTTACGCGCTCTTTAAAAAATCGATTGTTGGTGGCTGCCGGTGGCTGGGGGAGAAGGGACGGGGACTTATTCTTTAATGGTACAGGGCTTTTATTCTTCAAGATGAAAAGAGTTCTAGAAATAGGTAGAGGTGATGATTACACAGCATTATGAGTATTTTTTAATACCATTGAGCTGTACACTTAAAAATGGTTTAGGTGGCAAATTCTATGTGTATTTTTGTTTTGTTTTTGTTTTTGTTTTGGCAGGCAGAGTGGACAGTGAGAGAGAGAGAGAGACAGAGAGAAAGGTCTTCCTTTTGCCGTTGGTTCATCCTCCAATGGCCGCCGCGGCCGGCACGCTGCAGCCGGCACACCATGCTGATCTGAAGCCAGGAGCCAGGTGCTTCTCCTGGTCTCCCATGGGGTGCAGGGCCCAAGTGCTTGGGCCATCCTCCACTGCACTCCCGGGCCACAGCAGAGAGCTGGCCTGGAAGAGGGGCAACCGGGACAGAATCCGGTGCCCCGACCGGGACTAGAACCTGGTGTGCCGGCGCCGCAGGCGGAGGATTAGCCTAGTGAGCCGCGGCGCCGGTTTTCTATGGTATGTTACCAGCAAAAAATGGGAAAAATGGGTTCGTGTTGACTGTTGACTGCTACACATTACAAGGCATTGAAGCCTTCAGTGTTGAGTACATGCATCGAAACACAAAAGTCACCCCACGGCGAGTGAGAACAGGCTGAGGTTTCCCACCTGTCTCAGAACTCTCCCCCTGCGGTTACATACCGGAGCCCCACTGTCCGAAGCCACAAGGTCTCCAGGTTGGCAGGCTCCTGCCGATCAGGAGTCTGGCGCCTCCGAGGTGGGTCAGCAGGTTCACGGAGGTCACTGGGCATGAAGCTGTGAGAGAAGTGGCCGGAAGAGTTGTGGGTGGCAGAGCAGCAGTGGGAAGGGAAGAACTGTCACGGAGAGGGAAGCCCAGGCTCCAGCGGTCCAGGTCGGGTTAGATGCTTATCCTTGGGAGAAAGACACTGCGGGCACGGAGGCAGCCTCGCTCCC